AATGAAGGAATAACTCGGGGTACTTGCTGCTGTGATTCCTTGTTTTCTGGATTGGTTCAAAATTACAAGGCTACGGAGTTGAACATAAGTAGTCGTAAACTCATGAAATTTAGTCGGCTGTTCAACAACGGTTATAAAATAAAATAAAAAAAATCTACTTTCTTCGCTTTCCTGACAGAAATAAAAATATATTCTCCTTTTTAGCCTGCTTTAAAAAATGAAGAACGCAATTTTTTAAGTTTTTGTTTTATTATTATTATTAGTAGTAGTAGTAATAGAAGTAGCAGTAGTAATAGTAGTAGTAGTGGTAGAAGTAGTAATATAGTAGTAGTGGAAGTAGTAGTAGTAAAGTTTTGTGACAGTTTGACGAAAAAAGGTCCAAATTTCAATTGCAGCGATGGAATGAGAACAAATTATTATTAATAGTAGTAATAATAGTAGCAGTAGTAATAGTAGTAGTAGTGGTAGTAGTAGTATAGTAGTTGTAGTTATAAAGTTTTGAGACAGTTTGACGAAAAAAGGTCAAAATTTCGATTGTAGCATTGGAAAGGGAACAAATTTTGTTTGTACCATTTAGAAAACAAGTGAAACTTCTAATAAACAGACATTGAACTTCAATGGTTCTAGGATTGGAAATTGTATTGCCATTTAGCACAAAGCTTTGAGGATTCTACTCGCAGTAAATCGGAAGGAATTAAAAAAAGTTTTGGCGAAAAGTTTCCCTCTGTGATAAAAAAAAATTAAATAAGTAAATTTTAAAAAAAATTTAAAAATTGTGGCTATCAGGAAACGACTAAAACTAGTATTTTCTTCAAACAAAGATCTGTATATGATATTCAAACATTCAAGTTACCAAAATAATAACCAGTTTAGTAACCAGACTTATTGTTTATTTTTTACCATAAACGTCATTACCTTGCACAATGGTAATTTTGTCAGAATTCTTTTCTCCGGGTATGATAACAACATTTTAATCTGTAACAATTTCACGAGAAAATTTATATTTAAAAAAATTTTAAATTTCATTATCTATAAGAGATTATATTATTCATTTAGATGTTAATAATACTGTAATGTGGGGAAATAGATTTATGCTTAGTTCCATTTTTAATAACAAAACATTTAAATGTTTGACATTTTTATCAAATAATAGGTATGTTTGTAAATAAATATTATTGACCTCTGCTTTCTGTTCTGCATTAAAAAAAAACAGGGAAAGAAATTGTCACTCTAAACAACTGCAATAAAATATGTAATAATTGTGTTATGGATAAATTTTCTGTAAGATTCATATATCTTTGATAATCTGCATAATTTCAACTAAATATGTAATTATATTTACTTGAAAAAGTCACTGGTAAAATTCTCTCTTAGTCAAGACTCTATAAATTCAAGGAAATGTTTTTTGTCTCAAACAGTTGGGTCTTAAAACCAATTTCTGAAAAGCAGTTTACCTTGTAGTGCATAAATTTACGACAAAAACAATATTTTAAATGCAACGCAAAGTGTGGTAAATGGATAAACTATAAGTAAATAATTTAATGAAAAAACCAATAAATAAAATTCTTTACAATATTAATCATAGATTATAATATTTAAATAAATTTTTGAAATAAATAGTGAAGCATTTTTTTAAAAAAATGCATAACTGAAAATAATATTCATACTTTACACAATACTATGCAGCACTTAAAATGATTTTTAGAAAATTTATATCAATATTACTTCAGAACATTAGAGTTAAAAATTCTCTTCTGTGGCAGATAAGATAAGAAATGACAAGCACACTTATTATGGAACGCAAAATGTCTGATGAGGTCCTATGAAAATATCAGCCTGTATAAAAGAATGTGGTTTGAACAATTATAATTTTTATATTCATTAATTTTCATGTATTTTAAAATACTTTGTATATTGAAAAAATATTTATGCCGTTTTATGTGCCAATTTATAAGGTAATTTTCAAATATTTTTTGATAATAATAAAAATGTTTGTATTCATTGTAAAAAATATATTTACTCAAATACTACGACACTGTCTTCGTTTTTTTCGAAACCGTATCCTGGTATAAACTCTGGGAGAATTTCTCGTCAAAGTGGTAAAAGTATCGTCACTTCTTCGAGGAAACGAATTTCGTCAAAATTAAAAAAAATATTTAGTCATTACAGTTTTTACAAAAAAAAAAATCAAAACAAATTGTAGCGCCTAAAGTATCTAATTTTTCTAATTATCGAGAGAAAAACGATATTGGTGGATCAACGTCACCCTTACAAAACAAGAGGGACAGATAGGATATTGAGGTAAATTACACCCATGCCCGAAGCGGGATTCAATCCCGGGATCTCGCTAATACGAGGATCTCGCTAAACTCCTTGACCACCCAACTGGCCAATAGGTTTACTTTGTCACTTTATTTTAGATCGTCTAGTCTTTATTTTAGTTTCGTCATTGCGCAGCAATTTGATGAAAAGCAGTGAAAAAATTTGTTCTTTTATTTGCATCTTTCACTGAGCCCAAAAACTAACAAAAAATGCATTGTTGAACAACAATAGAAAAAAATCGATTTATTTATTTTAAATCACAAATAAAGTTATGTGTATCAAATTTCTTAACAGTAATCGTAAACCTAGTTCCTCCTTTCACTAAATCAATATAATAGAAAGAAATACATTACCGATGTACGCAATTTCAAAGAGTAGTTTCATTAGTTTTAGCTGGCGCGATAAAATTCTGGTTGTTTAACCGCATTAAGTGAAAGAAATTAATAAACAATCTTTCTCAAACTTAACAGTTAGATTACCATTTTATTTATGGTTATTTGACAGTTTTGATAAAATATGGTAAAATAACCATTAAATAAATTGTTATTTAACCATTTTTTCCGAGAAATTTCTAACAGTGTAGATTTGTTTACTTTAAATCTCTCAACAGTAATGGTAAAATTATTTCTTCTTTTCAGTAAGCTAATATATTAACAAAAAATACATTGTGGTTAACAATGGAAAATTAATAGATAGGATTATTTATTTATTTTCAAATCATATCAGGATTATTTGTTTATTATTAAATTACTTAACAGTAATGGTAATAATAAATTGACAAAAAATGCATTAACAATAGGAAAAAAAAGGATTTATTTATTTTAAATCACTGAACAGTAATAGTAAGCTTGGTTCTTCTTTTCAGTAAGAACATACATTAAAAATAGATACATTGTTGTGTAACTGTGGATAATAAATAAATAGGATTATTTATTTCAAATCACTCAGCAGTAATGGTAAACTTGGTTCTCCGTTTCACTAAGCCAATATATTAATAGAAATACATAAATTCCTGAGTAACAATAGAAAAATATAAATACATTGGTTTATTTTGAATCGCTCAACAGTAATGGTAAACTTAGTTCTTTTTTTTTCAGTAAGCCAATATATTAGTAAAAAATACATTGTATTGTAATAATGTAAAATATATAAATAGGACTTAGTTTAAATCACTCAGCAATAACGGTAAACTTGGTTCCTTTTACTAAACCAATAAAAAATGCATTGTTGAGTAAGAAAACTAAAAAAATTTATCAGATTACTTAACAGTAATAACGAACTTAGTTCTTCTTTTGGCTGACCTATGAAGCAATATTGGAGCAAACAAGTTCGCAAGTTAACGTTATGTTAGTATTAATTATGGTATGTGCTCATGTTAGCTCTTTGCTCCAAAAATAAATGATGCG